AGCCTGTCAAGGTCCCTCTGGATGGCATTTCCAATGACCATGAACGTTATCTAACTTAACTACATAAAAACTTAACTTTCATACTCTACAGTACACTTAAATTGTTCCTGCTTAGGTAATTGTACCAGACACTTTAAGAGTGATAATGAACTTCCAGCTAACACATTGTGCATTTATGACACATGTACCGAGACTCCAAATAACCATTCTCCAGATAAGTCAGAACGCATGCACGCTAAAAGCTCCAAGCTTTGGAGTGCTTTCCACTTCAAGGATGTTGTCATCTTCAGAGATTAAGTAGTACTTTTCTTTTAAATTTCCTAATTTTGGATTTTGAATTTTAGATGTTATTATTATCATATGCCACAAGTAAAAAATAACTTCAGAAAGAAAAGTTACTATTTCCTGTTGCATCAAAATAACCATTCAGACAACTCATGACCTCTTAAGACAGCATGTAGCTGCTTTGTTATATATGAAATTATCCTGCAAAAATCTACGCCTGTGCATAATTTGTAACAACAAATACAGAGAAAATGCTCCAAATAAAAACTGCTAGAGGAATTTCTCTGCCCTGAGAATCCTGTGCCAGTATTTTAATCAAAATGAACAACATAAAACTGTATAAAACTCAATTCTAAGCATCTTATCATAAACACAGGAGGACTCTGATAGTTAATCTGGTATCTAATAACACCAACATTTTAACTTTCAGCGAGTCTCTTAATCCACTGATAACATACATACCTGGCATGCCTGTAGCAAGACCCTGACCAAAAGCCAAAGCTGGATTTGCTGCTGCAGCCGCTGCAAGTGACTCTGCCTGCTGCCCTTGCTGACCCTGATTGGGAGTAAGCGGGCGCTGAGTTGCTCCAGCACGTAGAACCTGGAAAAGACCAATATGACACCCTTTCCTTAAAGGGTAAGAAAGCAAGCCCATTATACACTAAAAAAAGTCTAAAAAAAAGGTCTAGAACAGTTGTTTTGCATATTTGATACCACTTAGCCCTAAATTTCTTTTTGGGAATACTCCACTTTATTAGTTTCAAGGATATATACATACAGAAAATAAAAGGCATAAACTATTTTGCTGACAAATGTGGCAATAAAGTATCTGTCCTGCTCTGGACAGAAGAACTCGTGTATGTTCCATCAGTGGTAAGGCATATAAAGTAAGGAAGAAAATCTGTAAGACTGATATGTTTATGATCCATATTATTTATTAACTGAACACCTGTCCTGTCCTGATAAACGTGTTTGTTTACATTATTTTCAGGCAACTGAATGATGCAAGTCTGAATACTTCAGAGTTTGTAGTAACTCGTCTAAATAATTAACACTACACTGCCAACAGTGCTTTAAAAAATGCATCCACTAAGTTTTAAGAATTCATGTAACACTCCACCACCGTGCAACACAGGCTTATTTTATTATGTTCTGACAGCGTATCTCTGGGAGTCTGATTGAAAAGCAATTTAAATTCTGGCAACTACTCTATTCCTCTTGGTTAAAATAATCTTTTCCAGGTCCAAAATAAGAGGGAAATACAATTTACAATATATCCCCACAAAATATATTACATATGATTTGCATAAATTGGATATTCATTTTATAGAGAAAGTAAAAAAATACTGGAGGTATGGAATACATTCAGCTTATCAATGCAGTTCATTGATAACTATCAGTGGGAGGAAAGATCCATTCGAGTATTAAAATAGTGAGGAAGCTACTCTGGAACTTCATGGTAACTCAAAGTCACTTCTCATATTAAATTTATAAGAATGGCATTGAAATCAAACATATTGCCAGCAAAAAAATAAGTTTACATTCATCCAAGCATAAGATCATTGTAAGATTTGTGTTTTTCCTTTGTGGAAAAGGCCATTTGTTTTTACTGAAGGATCATATAACCATTTTAAAAACGCTTAAAAAATAAGCATTTTTTAACAAGTTATTTAAAGAAATGGAAATTTCAACAAGTTCTTGTAACAATTCCTTACTCTTGATTTACCAAGGCAAAAATAACATAGGGCAAATGGTGATGTAATACAATTACCGTGTCACAGAAAAATATGCAGGGCAATCCTTCCCCCCATGAAACAACAAAACTACTGATAACACCTTCATTTCCTTACTTTTCCAAGAGACAAAAATGTGGAACATCCCATTTTCTAGTTAATTAATAAAAATGCAACATTTTTTCCCCCAGCTTAAAGGAAAAATTACTTCAAACAATTACTAAAACATCTCTTTTCATCCTCTTATGTTAGAGCTTTCTAGATTAGTTTTTAACTGTACATTATTTTTTTTATAACTGTACAGACAGCAATATCTAGACATAAACATAACAACACAGTAACCTGGATTAAAGGTTATTAAACTATTAAATTTTTAATTAAACTATTTTTAATGTTTTTTGTTTTAAAAATTGGGACTGCAAAATAACCCAACTATTTAGTATGCGGTAAATGAATTTTTAAAGACAATGATCATCAGCATTTTAAGGAAACTGAGAATTTTAAATATTCATTTATTATTTGCTACAACACATTATCTGAATATTATAAAATTTTCTAGAAGTTGATCCTTATATACTGAAAATAGTAAGGTAAGGTTTTAAATGCACATCTCTTTTTTTATGAAGAACATACCGGTTGCTGTCCCTGTTGTGCCTGTGAAGCTGCTTGCTGATTCGCTGTGGTATTTGCTGCTGCAGCTTGCTGCTGAAATAAATTGGCTGGATACACCCCCCATGGAACACCATAATACTGAGGCGGAACCACAGCAGGACCTAAAACCAGAAAAACATGGTTATTCAATCTCTTGCAGCTAGTTAAAATAATTGTTTATATTTTTTGTAGCATCCCTCATTGATCTATCTTCTAAATGTCAAAACAGAAAACAGTATTAGAAAGAAATGAATTAATGTATTAGCCAAAATGATACGTGAACAGAAATGAGTTAATGTAAAGGCTTCACATCAAATCATACCTTCTCTACAAGAAAATAAATACCCTTGTGAGACTCAAGTGACAAAGAAATAACTTTAAGTAACCAAAGTTCGTATACTAAACAACACTCAAAATCAGTTTCCATGGCTGGAAAACAGATAATTTCAGAACATCACAGAGTGAACCAAATTAATCCTCCTGACAGGGATACAGCGAGTCTTTGATCATCTATTAAGCCTCCTTTCTATATGCTTCCTCTGCTTATAAACACAACTGCTGCCTCTGCCTCCCCTGCCTGCTACGTCACATCATCAGAGTGGGCACCACTTACCTCTACCAGCCTATTGATAAAGAACCCACAGAAGAACGAGCTCCCTTCCCTCTGTCACTGTACTGTACACATCACGCGTGACTTATACATACATGCTAGTTTTTTCTACTACCTTTCCTGTGAAACCACCAAATGCAGATACAGGGTTTTTTTCCAAAATGTTACGCTCAGGTCTGAGCACGATCTGGGACTTGAATACTCTCAGTAGTGTTGTTTCACAGTCATATCTATTAACTTTTAAAAATATTTTCCTGGGCTTGGGGGTTATCTGTTGCCTGGGCCTTTTAGCATGCTGGAGACCATCTTTATTCTCATGCCCACTGGGAATGAGAAAACTTAGAATTAGAAAATTAATGGCCCAAGTAAAAACATACAAGGACCAGCTAGCTTCTCATCTTCTGAAAATAATACATACTATTAATGTCAGATGAAACCTTATTAAGGATAAATTTTTTTACAACAGAAGAAACCTAACTGTTGGATATAAAAGTCCAGTAGAAAGATATACTCAGAACCCATGCATAAAAGAAACCAAATCTTTTTATATTTTAGTGAAAATTTTCAAAACAGCAATATTAATTTTTCTCCAAGCCCCCCCTTCCTAGAAACACATTTACAGAGAATAAACAGGAGAGATTTCAGCTTTTTTCTAATTTCACTCAGTAAAATTATCAAGATAGGCACTAGAAAGTGTTCTGTTACCTGCTAGGGTAGCTGCTGCAGCTAATCCAGCTGCAGTGTACGGGTCAGTACCTGGAGGAGCAGCACTGATAATGTACGGGTTTGGCACAAAAGCAGCTGGAGCCAAGCCTGCTGAGAATACGCCTGCTACAGTAACAAACAGAGTTTAATTACAGCTAACACACTCAGCAAGCAGCATCACACTCAAACCAATCAAATCACAAAGTATATCTGTTAAAATCAGAACTGCCTGTACTGTGGAAGTTTCCAAGAGCAGGTATAGCACCACAGAAATCAACACTTCTATCTCTTCTCACCACTTCTCTCTCACTAATCCCAAGGCCTAACAGCTTCGTTGTGCTAGATCTACAGATTCTGAAGAAATTTCTCTTATATGTATCTACCCAACCTTAGATAGAAGGGATTATTCAAAGTGGAATTTACCTTGCCCAGCTTTAACTATCTAAAAGTTACACAACTCTTACAACTAAATCTGTATCAAAGTCATCTAGTGTCTTAAGTGCATCAGTCAGAATAAATCACCTGCTAGAGATACAAATCTCTTTTCACTGATAATAGGAAAAAAACCTAATCAGATAGTTTAAATCAGATATCTGCCTTTTAAACAGCCAGTTATGAGAGGTTCATCTCACTTTCAAGTATCTAAATTTGATATAAGGATTGTAATGCAAAGAGACAACTGAGGAAACTCAAAAGCATCACTACGCAGTTTCCCCTGTCAGTCAGGTTCATGTACTTTCTCCAACACTGAGGCAGAAACCAGTTCAGCAAGCACAACACATCAGACTGTTTCTCCTTCCAAACAGGAGGCTTTTTGCTAAGTTTGTTAACAAACATATCAGAAGATGCTGTATTTCAAAGGGGCAAGATACAGCTGACTGCTCAGTCAGCACCTCACTCAAAGCAGGGGCTTCTCTGCAGTTTAGAAGTCAAAGACACGAAGAACACACAACTTGTGGACTCACACAACCATCTCAATCTGCCATGCTCCCACCTCAAAGACTATTACTCAGCTACACAATACTACAGAGCTGCCACTTTTAAATACCAGCTATAGGCCTCTGAATAGACCTCACAATCCACCTCAACAAGTCAGTGTGAAACTGTCACCCTATCGCAGAACATTGACACATCCCTTTGGAGATGCCACCTCCTACTTCTGTCTGCCCTTCTGATCCCGAGAACACTTCCCCTTGAAGAGGAAAGGGATAGGTGCACACATCTCAACAACCTAATGATGGAGAGTGGGAAGGGCAGGAACCTTTAAACCTGCACTACAGGGTCAGAATTTGAGGATATTTACCTTCCTTAAACAAGGAATTGCTTCCACATACACTCCAACCTCCCTCACAGAAACACACAGCTTCCCCATAGCAGCAGATAAAACTCTTGTCACTGAAATACAGACTCCTTGTTGAGTTGCCAGCACACAAAGAACTTCATGCATTTAATTAATTCACTGAATTACTTTTAAGGGACAGAAAAGAATGCTTGCTAAAGAGTAATTCCATCACAAAGAAAGGTACCTACAAGAATAAAGAGCTGTTTAAAAGGTGCCATTAACAAGGAAGAATGACTTTATCAACATAAAAGCTTGATTTCAAAATCCTACTATACAATGTTTTTTAAATGGATTATCAAAAATACTAAACTGCAATAGAGTAACAGAATTGCTTATTTTTGTTATTTCACTAAATAAAGCTAGTGCTGCTATCACTACTTACAGCAGAAAGGCTTTTTTACTATTTCTCCCATCAAACAAGCAAAAATATTTTTTATTTTTATACAACAGCCCAAAGTAGGCACAAATTTATACAACAGAAAACTTTCTCCAAGGACAGGATGGTCGTTCTGAGCAGTTTTCAGAAGAACTGCTAAAATGGGCCAATGGATCAATACCTATTTGAATTAGAATACTGTGGGTAAAAGCGAAAGGATTGTACCAAAGCAACACACCCACTTTTGTACTTCACAAAAACCTCACCTATGTGTGGCTGCTGAGCTGCAGCCAGCGCGTATTGCTGCTGCTGGGCCGCTGTTAACTGCTGAACAGTCAGAGCATTAGTCCTCTGGAAAAGCTGTTGGACAAAGAAAAAAAAAAGATACCTTTCAGTTTTCAAAAGTCACAGACAAAACAAAATTAAATGCATTATATGCTGAAATGGTTGATTGTCAAAGAGGATAATGCACAACTTAAAGAATCAGCTTGGCACGTGTTCAAGTTTAGTACGAACCTGCTGCTGAGAACTGTAGTCAAAGAGTCCTACAGTAGCTCCTGAAGAGTCCATCTGTACCTGATTGCCAGGATAGTCAAACTGTAGAGAATCAAGACCAACTTGTTCCATGGCATCTAGATTCTGATTTTCTGGATTTGAAAATTCTTCTACCAGAGGCTTGTGGGCTGTAGGATTGGGAAGTGGACCTAATCCTTCTGTGGTGCTGGGATTGGGGCCCAAGCGTTCAGCTACTTCTGTTGGGGAGGCTTGTCGACTTCCAGGGGTACGACTGTTTAGGAGAAATTCAAGATAAGACTCCTCAGTCTTAAATAAAGCTGTCCATGGACAGAGTACAGCATTTCTATTTTAAAAGGATCTCTGAACTCAGAAACTTTACAGAAGGAAGTGATTTTAACAATTTTAAACAGCATGCATTGATGGCTCAAAGTAAAGGACACATTTAACTTCAAAGCATAATTTCTATGTATTTTTTTTTAAACTTTAAGACTAAACAGCTCTTCAAAATCATTGTGAGAAAAACAAGCAAACAATATACTTGTTTAACTTAAGTAAAATGGACTAATAACTGCCTCATTTAGCATTTGACTAAAATATTTCCTTTCCTATACAACTGATTTAATAAACTACACTACACCAGATTATTGGTCTGGGGGGAAAAAAAGTGTTCCTAATATAATCCCATTGATTTAATCTCATTTTCCCTAAGAATAAATATAGTCTGCTGTTCCAGAAGAAAATCTTTAGGATAGAACAAAATCTAAGTGTTTCCACTGACAGCAAGACAGAAATATGGAGCTGGAAATAATTTACTGTGCCAAAGCCCTCAGAGTTCAGTTTCCAAATACGAAGGGCTGGTGGCAACTGATATGTAGATAACTGCACTTACACATCTCGAGGGGCACAAGTGTTTAAATTCCCACCAGAGGGGATGTAAATCTAGTCAATACCATTGACAGAGCCTAGACAGCAACTCAACTGACCAGTCACTACTTGTTTACTTCAGGGTAAAAGCTGAGTTGTTCACCCATCTCCACCAGCTGTATTGACAGGCAAGCACAGGAAGCAAGATGTCAACAGATTCGCATCCTAAACAGATTCCCAACCCTAGATCTGGTTAGATTCAGGGTACCTTAATTTGGAGTCATATCCCATCTTCTGTGTCAGGCCACATTGTTTAGACTACCAATTTTTACTGGCAAAAATCTAAGTCAACAACTAGAAAGGAGTTGTGGGAGAGAATCCATGATCCCTTAACAGCATTATTGTGTTGGCAGAATCTGGTAATTACATATTGTTTCTCAGGAAACAAACAACTCCCAGTTAAGTTTGCTTTATTTGTAAAAAACAGGCTCAAATACAAATTGACATCTTGCAGGATGCAACTATGTTTATTCCAGCAGTACACTGCCAGACCAGTACAGTATACTGCTAATTCCAGGACAGAGACACAGCCTTAGTACTTCCTGTTCTCCTCCCTCTTCAGGGCTCCAAAGTTGAAGTATCTGTTCCTCACTGAATCACAAGATTAATGCAAATAAATCTGCTAATACTCATCTACTTGCTGATACCAACTCTAAAGCCTGTACAGATAGAAAGCAGTCTTTTAGTGAGTTTATTCAACAATACTGTATATTCTGTTACTTTGAGCAAAATACTTCAAAGATAAAGCAGTTACACTAGCTTTATTTTTTAATGTAACCACCAACCTCATGACAATCTTCTACAACACACTGGCTACCATCCAAGTACCCTAGCTAGCAACCATGTCTTGCTCAACGTACAAAACTTGAGTTTGAAGGCATTTAATGTTCCTTATTCTTCCCACGTGACATACAGTATCAACAAAGTGAAGAACAAAAGGAAAAAAGGCAGTTATTTCAGTACATAGTTTAGTTTTTAAAAGTTGTAGGTACAATAAAAATACAAGGAGGAGGACAGGACAAAGTTTCTTTGATAATACTTATGTTTACCTAACATAGGTTGCTCCTTATACTGGTGCTGTTCTGTTGCTATAGTTAAAGTTGTGTCAATACTTCAATTATAAACCTCTGTTTGGAGGGCTTTTACCACCACTTTATATGGTCCATCTAAATTAGACAGTCTTATTTTATTTTCTTTTTGAGTGAGAGGTTTACTGGCTTTGGATGCTTTTTTGCACTTTGTACTTTTTAATAATTTCTCTCTTTAAATAGTATGAAACTATTTAAATAATATGACTTTAAACTTTAAATAATATGACTATTTCAAAATTGAAACAGCTACTGGTAAAGAAGAGCAGGACAAAACTTATTTTGCATTTTCTACATGTAATACCAAAGGTGACTTTTGTTTATTGTGCGTATGGCAGCATGCACCCGAAAGGAGCTAATCTGAGCTCTCCAATATGCTTGGTATTATATTATTTTCAATAATATGTCTTGAAAAATAGACTTGAAGAATCCCTCAGGTAAATACATTTTTTAAAGGGTAGGAAATACTTACGTATGGGATTCAAATGTGCATTTTAATGTACTTATTCAGTTATGAGCTAATGAAACCACAACTATTCGGTCACGGTCATCGTATTAATACAAATTTATGAGCAGCACTCTAGTTTTCTGATCTTGTTAATTCTTCTGTAGGACAGTTACAAATGCACCACAGTAATTTAAGAACAAAGACTAGTCCTTCGAAAATACCCAATTTAAAATGCAGTTTAGTTTTAGGAAAACACAGGCTGGCTGTGCTGTCATATAGGAGATCACAGTTCAAAAGCTCAAGCTTGGTCCTATTTCCCTCCCCCCCCCTCCAAGAGAACAACCAAACCACACCACCATTCTACACTGTGAACAGGTGACATTTAACTATGTGAACAGGGAAATACATTGTTTCTCCTTAGTCAAATAAATGGTTTCTATAAAGACTTTTGTGGGGAAATAATTGTGGTAGGCTGTGGTAGCCACTCGCAAAATTAGAAGGAAGTTAAAATTCTGTAGGACTTACTCTCTACAACAACAACAACCAGATGCAAAAGTTATAGAGCATTAAAAAGAAGCAGAGAGAGAAAGAAATTTAGTCTGAAATCCAGCAAGGGTTAAAGTTTTCATGCCTTTTTAATTCACCACATTTTGAAGGTACCCATTTACTTTGAATAATTACTATATTAAGATGAATTTGTCTCATGAGGAGTGACACACACATTAATGACATCCTAAGAAACATGTGGCACAGTGGGAAAGGGAGGACGGGAGGTAGGAAGAATCAGTCTGCAGCTGGGTAATGTTTAAAGCTGACACACAAACCAGAACTGTAATAATGCCCTTCAGAGACATGCTCATCTTCTTGAGAAACAATTAAAAGCTTACTTAAAATCTTTGCAATCGGCATCCATTCCATTTGGCAAACCTCTGCCATTTATTTTAGTAACATCCTCATCATCTCCTTGTTTAAGATCTCTGTTTTTGTCCTCCTCAAATGGAGAAGCCTTGCCTTTCTGATCTCCTTTCTCAGGTCCATCTGTTTCAGCATCTCTAGTGCCCTGAGGAAAAAGAATCTGTTTGATTCTGAATATTGAACAGAACACAATAGGAGCACCACAAGGTGACCTAATTCTACACTACAGTGCACGTAAACAATACAAACAGTTTAATTTCAATGAAATTGCATTTGGTGGGTAACTTGGTCGTCAAGTTTCAACCACATGCAATTAATAACTGCCAAAATGTGAAAAGGAATGCCAAGATTTATAATGGAAGAGCTAACTCAACCTTAACTATAGCGGTGCTGCTAAAGCAGTAACACTTCAAATTAGACAAAGTTTATTTTATACAGTTAAAACATCTAGTACAAAACAAACTCATACAGAAACAGAAAATACGAAGATCTAGAATAAAGCTCATCACACATTTTAATTTTGAACTATTTGCAAACTTTTTTTCTACCTTTAAAGGTGTTAGGAAAGTACTTTTTTTTTTTTAAAGACAGCTATTTAGTCAAGACTCCCAAACTACTTCCCTCTTCTGCCCCCTCCAACCAAGGATACAGACAGACAGCAACCACACACTTCCTTCTAAAGAGAAGGGTTAAAAAAGGAAAATGGACAAACAGTAGAAAATATAACCATAGAAGACAGTAAGACCATAGTAGGTAACTAGGCAAGCTTAACACACTGCATTACTTACAAAAGCTCCTTTCCTAAACCGGGAATCCAATTTATCAGCTGGAGAGGAACTTAACACATATTCTACCATGCTCACTCCAAGGCCACCACTTTCTGATCGTGGAGACAACACAGCATTTACTTCACTGTTTCCATGAAAACCCTGTCCAGGCTTTCTCTGTACCATAATAGGTTGGGACATAGAATGGTCTGTTAAAAACAAATAAATAAAATATTGTATTTTTTTAAATACAACCTGAATGTTTTTGCATTTCATTACACAGGAAATATTAAACATGACCAAAATTCAATTAAATAAAAAATTCCAAATATCAAGTTTCAAAAAGTGTTATTGGCACACAACCACCAGTGCCACACACATTGTCACAATTAAAATGAAAGGAAAAATCAAATTTAATACACAATTAAAATGAAAGGAAAATCAAATTTAATACACAATTAAAATGAAAAGAAAATAAAATTGAATACACAATTAAAATGTGTAATATTAATTTACTTTGAAATAGCATTTAGTAAACATGACTGATTTTTCAATACATATACATCAATCACTTACGAGGAGTTCCCCATGCAGTCTCTCTCCACTCATCACCAAGGAATATCCCTTTTTGCCCATCTTTTGCTGAATCATCAGGTTCCCAAAACTTTTTGGCAGGTAAAAGCTGTTCCAAAAAAGAAAATGGTTTTATTTTAAATATGCTTACAAAGGGGAAAAAAAATAGGAGTACTATTAAGAGGCTATGCAAGTAATTCATTTTAGATACCCAAGTCAGCTTTACATATGGAAGCACACGTTGCCAAGGAATAATTATAAACACTTAAAAATTATGTTGTTACTGAAGCTGATGCTGGATAAAGAAATTGCTGAAGTGACCACACAAGACTGAGATTCTGAAGTTAGGAGGGAGAGATACAGAATATAGAAACCGCTGAGAAAAAAGCTAATCAAATTAATCCCTGTGTTAAACCGAGTCAATCCCCTCAGAAACTTTAACACCACACGTTCTTTCCATGCTGTCTCAGAAGCTCTGCTTTTAACTAATAGTGTCAGCATAACCAGACGCTGCAGCAGTTCACTGTAAAGTTCTGGTCACTTGGAAATGCATCGTATTTCAAATTTTAGAAAGCCACTAACACACATGGCAGCAAGTCAGCTCCTTTAGACCACAGGGTCACACATCTGTGACATTCAAATTTGAAGTTCCACTTACCAACGATTTCATTTAGCTGTATGATTTTTTTTTTCTCATTACTACTTCTAAAGCAGAATTTTTTAAGTTAGATCAGTATCACTTCCTGTACTGTTTTCAAGGACAGAAGACTTAGTGTAACATAACAGAAGCACTGCACAAACAAAAATACCTGAAATGTCAGCATTCCTTTTACTTTTATTTTACTACTTTACTCCATTCCTCTAACTTCTCCCATCGTTAGCAGCATAATGGCCAAACTCTGCATACATTTTCTCTTGAATATGTAATTAAACAACTGTATTCTCAGGCTATATATTACCTACTTTACAAAGTCCAACAACTGAAACCACAACGAAAACAACTTCAAAAAAACCCCCAACCACCAGTTCTGAAGAGCTCTGAAGACAGCGTTGTAATCCATCAAATTTAGCAAAATGTAATGTTCAATTCAAAATGTTAAATGTTGTGAATTTAGGAAAAAGCAAATATAATCTGATAAATATTTGTTTACAATAAACAAGTACATTCTAGAGCTCTGATTCTTGTTATTTAAGTGACTACAAAACCCTTCTGAACTTCACAGCTGCTTAGTATGAGCCTTGGTAAAACTAAAAGAAGAATTTTTTGGGGTTTTTTTTAGGTATTTCTTAATGTAGCATTGAAAGGGCTTGCTAAAACAGCTCAAAGAAGAGGCTGAGACTGCCATTAACAGGCCACAATATTAACACTGAGAGGCAACAAGAGCTGGTCTGGAGGAACTGAAGGATTGCTGATGGCTGGTTTTCTGCGCCGCCCAAAGCTCTTACCAGAAACGAGGCATTTTGAGTAGCTAACCTGAAACCCCTGGGCTCCTTACATAAACCCATCAACACGGAATGAGTTGGGCTGGAGGATGACAAACAGCCAAAGCTCAACAAAACTATGGGAGAGTGTTATGCTTGCAAGGGAGTTACGCTGTTCTGACCTGCCCTGACAAAGACACCCCCTTTCTCAGTGCACGGGAGAGTCATCCGGGAGCACCGGGATACTAAGTCTACCACAGATTTAAGGGATGAAATTAGTCATCAGAGGACAGAGAAATAGATTAATGGACTTTACAACTGCAGTTCAACTAAAAGCAAAAGATTATAAATTTCAGATATCTGCTCATCCTTTTAGCTTCACATTGTAACACGTTTGCAGTACTACTTCTTTTTTGTTTTCTAGGATAGTGATAGGAGAGAAAACGTGTGCGCAGCTGAGTTGAGAGCCATGAGAAATACAAAAGTGAATGTGATACAACCTAACACAACCTTGTCAGAATAAAATCAATCAAGTAACATCTTGGGCATCATAAAATAAGCACCACCTTAAAGTATGCATTCCCTGAAATTAATAAATTCCACTACCAGACAAGTGTTCAGAGAACACAATGGTAAGAACGATACGCAAACTCAGAGCAGAACACACTGCGATACTGGTTGGGATTTCCACCCTCATTCACAGGATTTCTACCAGAGGAAAAAACCTGCCCACTGGCAGAAAGCAGCAATAACCCTCACTGCGAAAGTACAGGTTGTTTTGGGGAAATTTGTTGTTGATTGGAGAGGGTTTTTTAAATGTGCTTTGGTTTATTGTTTTTTGTTGTTTAGCTACCTACTCTCAAATTCTGAACGGATATATTTGACTGCCTGCAGTCTTCATGTACTCTGGTACATAAAGAGTATAGAGTACCTTTAATACAAAACATAATGCATCATCTATACCTCAAAAAGCTAAATTTAAACTGTGTCCTATTGAAGAAAAAACAGATTTACAGATAATTTTTTTGTTAAAATTTCTACACAAAGAAGTTCCTCAAATATTTAATTACATGGAACTTTTTAAAGTTTACAATTTTGCACCTCCCTGAGGGCCAGTGATTTAGATTTATTATTTACTTATTTAGATTTATTATTTTAGATTTAGATTTATTATTTGCTTATTTTTTGATAGATCATTGATATGACATACACTATGCTCTTTTTAAAGGGATGCCTTGGCTATTGGATTGCCATACATAAATGAGCAGCCCTAGCAGCTGTCAACTCTTCCATTGTGGAACAAAAAGAGCACTTTTCAGAAAAAAACAAAACAAGCCTGTTCCTCTTTAACGGGCAAGAAAAAAAACCCCAAACATTTGATTAGTTCTACTGAAAGACTTAAGAAGTCATCACAAATTAACAGAAGTAGCTAAAATAATTGTGCTTTACGCTTTGATAACACACATTTTGCTCAGTATTTCCTGCATTAAATACAATAAAATAGAAACTTTACAAAGACACATCCAATTCCAATTCCAAATAACGGAAAAGATTGCTGTAGTTCTTACTAAGCTCTTCCAAAAGTGTCTTTTTCAGTATCAGCACTGATCCCTCTTATGTCTCTGCCAGATGAACAAAGCCCTTTTCTACATGTAGATAATAACCAATTATGCTAAAGCTGCCTCTTAACCAGCTCTCTGATAAGTAACTGCACAGTCTTGATTACTGGCTTTTGAATGAAGCATTTTTAATTTTTTTTTTTTTTTTAATTTTAGGATCAGCAGTTATTCCTACAGGGCCTTCTCTGAATGAGGTTTTGACACCAGAAAGGGATACATTGTCCCTAAAATTGAATTTGTGCGTGCTTTGACCCTGTAAGCGTCTATAAGAATAGCCATTGTGTGTATATATATATATATATATTTAAAAAGTTTTATATTCTGTTTGGCAATTAATTTTATGTATGCCTGTATTAGGTCACACTAAAGGTCCTGAAGCCCACTAGGCTGTCACTGAAATAGCAAACAACAGATGCCTAGGAAGGAGAAATAGCACCATGTATCAGTATTTCTTCAGAATATTATGATGATCTTAAGGGTCATGATCTAGTGGAAGGTGTCTCTGCTCATGGCAGGGGGATTGGAACTGGATGATCTTTAAGGTCCCTTCCAACCCAAACCATTCTGTGATTCTATATGACAGCTTTTGGGAGCTGGAGCCAGAAGCATCATCTGTGTTTAACCAACCTAACAGTTGAAATTTTGGGAGGCACTTAGAGAAAGACGCCTGCAGTACAGCAGATCTCCTCCTAATAAATCTTCAGCCTGTTTCTCTACAGAATGAAGAACTGCAAGGCAAACAGATCAAGGAAACCATACATCTGGCTCGGGTTATGCTGTCCTATTCCCGATCCTGATTGATACCAGGCTCCATCCGAATGCAGCTCAGACAGAGAGCTTAACAGAACTATTCCTAGTACGTATTATTTCCAAAATGTGTTATGGTACAATGAAAACAGATTTCATACTATGTTCCTTTACATTAGCACTTTGAAGAGATGCTTGAGGATTCACAGACAGTCTTGATTTTAGTAACGATGTGAAAACTAAGACTTAACAGCCTCCTAATGTCAAGCATTGATTCACAGTTAGGAAAAAAGACCAAGAAGGATTAGAATTATGAACAAGAAATTAATTTCAGTTCAGAGAAAAATCTACCCAGACAGAGAAAACGAGGAAGAGAACAACTTCCCAATAGCTAGAAGCAGATCACTTGACGTGACCTCCCTTTCACACCGTTCAAAGTAGACAGAGGGCAGCAGGCAAGAACTGCCAATTGTAGCTTACAAGGGATTTATGGAGGACATTTCCTTTAATGTTTTGGAAAACTATAATCAAAACAAAGGTTAAAAACAGTCATGGAACCTATTCCAGAACTACCTTATTGCTGTGCAATACATTAAGAAAATCACTGAGTAGGCCAGCCTAGCTATGTGAACCTGTACTACCACAAGATACCCAGAGGACAGCATTGAAATGAGAGACAAAACACCCCAGTAAGTGCACCATCACAATATATAGTATCAATGGCTGGTGCTATACTAGTGTACCAGAGCTCTGGCTTTTTCTGGGTGGATTTTTTGATTTTTTGTTCAGCCTCCTCCTCCCCCCCCCCCAACATCTTCACAGATCCACAGAATACCATAAAAACAAACAAAATCATAATCATGTGGAAATATCTCCCTCAGTCTGAGATAACATAAATGAACATCTGGAACACAAGAAAGACAGGGACCAGTTAGAACGAGTCCAGAGGAGGCCACCAGGATGATCCGAGGGCTGGAGCAGCTCTGCTGTGAGGACAGACTGAAAGAGCTGGGGCTGTTCAGCCTGGAGAAGAGAAGGCTCCGGGGAGATGTTATAGCGGCCTCCCAGTACCTGAAGGGGCTACAGGAAGGCTGGGGAGGGACTTCTCATAAGGGCAGTTAGTGACAGAACAAGGGGAAATGGGTTTAAGCTGAAAGAGGGGAGGTTTAAATTAGATATTAGGAAGAAGTTCTTCACTGTGAGGGTGGTCAGACACTGGCCCAGGTTGCCCAAGGAAGCTGTGGATGCCCCCTCCCTGGAAGTGTTTAAGGCCAGGCTGGATGAGGCTTTGAGCGGCCTGGTCTGGTGGAGGATGTCCCTGCTGATGGCAGAGGGGTTGGACCTGGATGATCTTTAGGGTCCCTTCTAATCCCTTCCAATTCTATGATTCTATGGGCAGTCACATACACCCCCATCTAACTCCCAAGCATTTGTGCCATCCTTCACTTCCACTGCTTTCAAGCTCTCAGAGTGCTTCATGGGTGGCAAAAGGACAAACGTGATGAACACGAATTTTACCCATCCACTCTATCCCACTGCTGGTACTACTGCAGCCACCTTACTAACACCTCTGCCTCTCAAAAGGAGTTTTAAGAGCTGAAGGGGGGCATGGGGAAGTAAGAATATCCAGTGTGGCTATTCAGCTTTCTAAATAACAGAGCTTCATCTAATACTGCTTTTTCAAATGGGAGATGGTTCAAGAAAGTCAACGTTGAACCCTGGATGAAGCAAAAATTGCCAAGAAGCCAACTGATTGGTTAAATGTTTCATTAAAGTAAAAAAATTAAGAATAGCCACGTATCAGCTGAGAAACATTCAGCAACTAGAACATGCCATCTGTTTTTCATCAACAAGTTACGGCTTCCTTAGAGACCACAGTCACAGAGTCATTTTAAGAGAGTTAACTCAACCAGTGATAATACTGCAGCTTATCAACTGAATTAGGCAAATATCCAGCAAGACAAAAGGATCAGTATTTGAAATCTCAGTTCAATGTGAATTTATTTCATCACCATGTCCCATCAGGGCAAGGAACCCTAATACATGTAGATTACTTTCTAAGCAGTTCAGGGAACTGCTTTTGAAGGAGCTAAGTCATCCTTCATGATCTTGAATTCCACCTCCCCAGAAGTATATTGACTTAAAAAAACAAAACCCAAACAAACCAAATCCATCAAAAAAAGCCAGACATTTCTGCTTGGCTATGTCAAATTAACTTTTTCTGGAGCCAAACCTTTTTCACATCCCAGTCTCCTTGGCTTCTCAGAAATAGTAAGCAATTGTTTCAGTAGCTTAGGTACAGTGAAACTGAAACATGCCTCATTCCACAGAATTGCACAAACTTTCAAACAAATTACCCTGTCACTTCCCCAAGAGCATCAGTCATCTAATAAGACTGACACCGTAGATCCAGTCAACAACCACCTCAGTGCTCTTGCAAAGTACTTAGTTTACCTTCACCTTAGAACAGAAATCTTCACTTGCCTGAAAATTCAATTTGCTCTTAACAGAAGCTCTTGCTTCATGTTGTATTATTTAAGATTTCTTAAGTTGCATCAACATTTCCAAACCAACAACTGGATTTACAGCCCTCAATAATTACCTCTCCCATTCCCCGAGATTCTAGGGCAAGAGCTTGAAACTCATGATTCATCTCATCCACAGATCGAACCTGTAGAGAGAAAAACAGAAGAGCAATCCATTAGTTAAATACATTTTCAAAAGTTGAGTTTGTAATACTCCACCAGATTTGTGACAATCGAAAGCAAACACAAAATTTGCTGCTCAAACTAGGCTGAACATGAGTTCAGATTTCATGAACAGATACAGTTCGTGACCAATTTAATGAACCAAGCTAATATAATAACTTGCAAGAAATTCCAGAGACTTAAATCTTCATATATCTGAGTGATACCACTCAGTATGGAAACAATGACCAATATTACATTTGCAACAAAGGCAAAAAGAGTTTAATTAAAGATCTGGACATACAATATCCTTTGGAAAGGAGATGAGCGTTGCACACAGTGTTGCTGAGTACACTTAGCAGCAAACAGAGAAAAGCTCACAAGACAGGTCACAAAAGCCACTAGCAATGCATTGCTTCTAAAATCAAGTAACTGAAGGTATTATCACAGTTTCTCAAGCTTTCTTCCCGGAAATAGCACTCTCCTTCTCTCTGCGTTGTCTTTTTTGTTTGCTGTGAATACGGAAGGTGTATTACTAAAGCAAGAGCTGCTGCTACAAGACACTACCTCCTCTTCCACGGCATGCAAATGCAACGCACTGGGTGCATTCTTTCCTGAGAAAATGGTTTTCACAAAAAAACTTTCAAAGCCATGACAAACTTAGAAAAACAAATACAAAAAGGAAATTCAGAGTTGTTCCTCCTCTTCCCTCCTTTCTCAACAGTGAGATGCAGCGGGATAAAATGTTAAAGTTATTCAAATTCAAAGTAAAATTCAAGTTTCCCTCCCAACACCAGTCTCTCCTGAGGAGTTAATTTCACCTAGTGAACTCATCTGTTTATACTAACAAATACACCAAAATGGAGTCACTCCAGACAGCTGACAACATATTAAGATCACTTTTCAAAAAGATACTCAGATACTAGGCAAAGGCACAAACTTGTGCTTGTAATATTCTGTTGCAAACAATTTCTGCAATTGTTCCTTAGCACTGGACAAGTGTTAATTACCTGCCAAGAGATGCTCTATTCTCAAAATTCTACTCTCAAAATACTGTTATTGCTCCACAATCATTATAAGCGATTAATTTCTGAGGATGAATGTCTCTGCACTTTTCAGAAAGAAATTTCACAGCTCAAAGGAATATTCCCGCAGAAATAACAATATTTTAGTTAAGATGGATTCTGAAACCAACTGCCAACAATTTAAGTGACCTATTGAAGAGCAAGTTTAGTTTCACAGTGAATTATGGGGGCGGGGGACTCAGCACCTTGACCTTTTCAGGTTGATTTTATTCTTTTAAAAACTGAAAGCAGATTTTAATGTATCCTTAAAAAAAAATTCATTTTTTCAAATTAATTAAAAAATAACTATTTCTAATTTATGTGAAAGAAGCTTTTTTTATTAGTTCTGAGGGATAATCAAATCTTTCTGCATGCACAAAGAAAAGTTAACTGTAGAAGAGAAAATATTTAGAAAGAGAAATCAGAAATTCAAATTTTGAAGACTTCTGAATATGGATATTACAGTTTCCAAAACTAGAATTTCTTCTATAGATGGCTGAGAGAGCTGATTATCTTAACACAAGCCACTCCCCATGTTGAAGTCATGCACTTTAGATTTAATTACAATCAAATAGTAAATGAGATACTTCTGTCCCCAGGGGTGGATTTGTTCTAACAATATCTCTTAAAAAAAAGAAAGAAAAAAAGCAAAAAAAGCTGTAGCTAATTCTTGACAAACTGTATTTACCATAAAGACTACCTGAATCACTGTCAGATAAAAAACAACCAAGCTTGAGAGATGTTTAAGTTTTCTGGTTGTGTGGGGATTTTTTTGGTTGTTTGGGTTTTTTTGTGGTGGTTTTGTTTGGCTTTTTTTTTGTGCTGCAAGACTTTAATAGCAAATACTTATTTTTCAAAATTCAAAAATATGGCCACATACACTTCCAAGTCTCTAAGAAAAGACAATCTGAGAATCAGGGTAATAGCACAGCAAACTT